ATGAGTCACAGCCTGGTGTATTACATAGTTAATATTTGTAATTCTTAGTAAGACACTTACCATCAATACCTCTGGTGAAAAGTTATGACCATGTCATAAAGGATAAAGATCTGTGTTTAAAATTATTATTGATGAGTACAGGAGAATGAATAGAATGCAGTAATGCAGGGCCCTGTAAATTGGTACAGTATTGAAATGCATAGTAGTAGGTCCAAGGTGTGCCAAGCTGTGGGGAAAAGTGAAGTGTCCTACTGTTATGTCTAGGAGTAATACAGGAGTGGGAAATTCAAGCAGAGAAAGTGTAAGCTGTAGAAATGGACTTTGATTGAAGGGCAGAGGACAGGTGGAGTGAGGGATGATGAGATTAGGTGTGGGGCTGAAAGGGGTGAGGCTGATAGGTGACGGAGGGGACACTCCAATGGTTTGTTCACGTCGAGAGAAAGGACGGAAGGAGATTAAGTAAGATAATCCATAATAATGACGTGTAGGGAGGACAATGTAGGGGAGACCAAATGTTAGCAGGTAGGACAGTGATGGTCAAGACGGTTGCGGTTTCATTATCGGTAAGTTGTAATGTCTTATGTTGGAGTAAGTAATGTCTATGATGTGCCAAGTGATATTTTGAGTGATACAATTAACTTTAAATAATAAAATAAAATGAAGGGGGAGAGATATCTATACAGTACTTTGTATAGTATAAGGATGGGGGGGGGAGAGATATATGCTGTACAGGGGGGGGGAGATATACACTGTATAGGAGGGGGGAGACACATATACTGTACAGGGGGAGAGATACATACTGTACAGGAGGGGGGAGGTATATACTGTATAGGAGGGGGGAGACATATATACTGTACAGGAGAGGGGAGACAGATATACTGTACAGGAGAGGGGAGAGATATACTGTACAGGAGAGGGGAGACAGATATACTGTACAGGAGAGGGGAGACAGATATACTGTACAGGAGGGGAGAGATATATACTGTATAGGAGGGAGGAGACATATATACTGTACAGGGGGGGATTATTACTGTACAGGGGGAGGAGAGAGAGATATATACTGTACAGGGGGAGGAGGGAGAGATATATACTGTACAGGGGGAGGAGGGAGAGATATATACTGTACAGGGGGAGGAGGGAGAGATATATACTGTACAGGGGGAGGAGGGAGAGATATATACTGTACAGGGGGAGGAGGGAGAGATATATACTGTACAGGGGGAGGAGGGAGAGATATATACTGTACAGGGGGAGGAGAGAGAGATATATACTGCACAGGGGGAGGAGAGAGAGATATATACTGTACAGGGGGAGGAGAGAGAGATATATACTGTACAGGGGGAGGAAGGCAAGATATATACTGTGCAGGGGGAGAAAGGCAAGATATATACTGTGCAGGGGGAGGAAAGCAAGATATGTACTGTGCAGGGGGGGGGAGATATATACTGTACAGGGGGGGGAGATGTATATACTGTACAGGGGGGGAGATGTATATACTGTACAGGGGGGAGAGGGAAGGGAGAGATATATACTGTACAGGGGGGAGGAAGGAAGGGAGAGAGATATATACTGTACAAGGGGAAGGAGATATATATATTCCATGAGAAGGGTTATATATCCTATGAAAGACCCATTCATCTGTAATGTTTCCCTAGCATGGAACTCCTGCTTAGGGAAGCACAAAACAAAACCAGAAAAGATCTAAAGATACACTGTAAGGCTCGTTCCTGAGCTAATGAGGGTGAACTATGAATGAACACTGAAGGACCTGGAGTTTACCACATTGAAGGAGAGAGAGAGAATAGAATAGGGGAGGCCTGATAATGACCAAATATTCCAAGTGGAATTCACCAAGTAGATAGTGAGCCATATTTAAGGTGATTCATCCCTTACTCTAATAAATGCCTGTGTCTTGAGAAATCTTTGATGCTGCGGAAGAATCATGTGTTTTATGCAAGTACGGGGAAATTATTGAGAGCAGGAAATTTCTGTTGATTTTCCCGAGATCAGTGAATAATGGTGCATATTAGTACAGTAAGAAAAAGTTTAGTTTGAAAAGTTTTTGAAAATATTTAGCTGTATAGCTAACAAACCAAAATAAAATTAAACCAAATAAAATAAGAGTTCAAGCACAGGTAAAAGTTCTGTACCTCAGGGTTCAGTCCTTGCACCACTGATTTTCTTTATTCTCATATCAGATATAGACAAAAATACAAGTCACAGCTTTGTATCATCCTTTGCAGATGGCACAAAAATCAGCATGAAAATTACATCTGGTGAAGACATTGAAAAACTACAACTAGAGATTAATAAAGTTTTTGACCGGGCATAATAAAATAACATGATGTTTAACAGTAATCAATTCCAGGTACTCAGGTATGGTAAAAATGAGGAACTTTTACAAAATACAGGGTATAAAACACAATCAAGTCTGCCCATAGTAATATAGCAGCATGTAATGAATCTAGGAATGATGATGTCTGACGACCTAACATTTAGGGAGCATAACCAAGCAAATATTGCGCCAGGCAGAAAAATGATGGGATGGATTATGAAAACATTCAGATCCATGGATCCCATCACAATGTTTGTACTATTCAAATCACTTGTGCTGTTCCATCCCCAAGTACTTCTCGATACAGTACTTACTTTCCCTTCAGAGCAGGAGAGATTGCTGAAATAGAGGGAATACAGAGAACTTACTTACACAATAAAGGACCTAAATTATTGGGATTGTCTCAAAGCTCTCGAAATGTACTCCATAGAAAGATGAGAGAGATATCAAATAATATACACATGGAAAATACTGGAGGGGCCAGGTCCTAAATCTACACAGTAAAATAACAACATACTGGAGTGAATGATATGGAAGAAAATGCATAATAGAACCAGTGAAGAGCAATTGCCAGTGTAGCCAATAGGAAAGCAAGGATGTACGTTAAGATATCGGTTCAGATTGTAGTGCTAGTACAGTAACTATACCAATATAGCCAATAATGCTAGTGACGAGATCAATACAATCAATCAGTTGGCAGACTTAGACCCATCTGTGAATAGGGCAATGGAGTGCAAGTGTGAAGAAAAGTGGAGCAGCAGGTGTGCCATAGGTGCAGTCAGAGAACACTGTATGTATAAACATCTGAGGTTCACGGTTGTTCACCATAACCCCCAGCGAGTATAAGAAATATTGCTGGAGCAACCGTTGACATCTTCAAGAGAAAACTAGGTAGTTTTCTTCAAGAAGTGCTAGACCAACCAGGTTGTGGTGGATATGTGGGCCTGCGGGCCGCTCCAAGCAACAGCCTGTTGGACCAAGCTCTCGCAAGTCAAGCCTGGCCCAATGCTGGGTTTGGGGAGTAGAACTCCTCCCAGAACCCCATCCAGGTACAATCCAGGTAGCTGACGGGCAGTGCCAAAAATCGTTGTGGGGATCTGAATGTGACCCTGGCATGCTGTTCCCTGTTGAATTCTGGCGACCCCAACAAGCCTATGTTCATCCTGTACCCCAGATCATTCCTAACTTTTCCTAAGTTATCTAGATGATATTTGCACCTAAATTAAAATTGACTTTTTGAACAATCTCATATCAGTCAGTCAACATTGTAGATTACAATACAAACTTTGTTTTCTAAATTTACACAAATATGTGATGTACAAACATTTGTTGGTCTACAGTTTTTCATATTAATCATTCAGTATGATGTGCAATATTCAAATAAGAAGAACAATTCATGCCCCCTTAATGTAATTAACCTAAACCATAAATGCCCCAAAAAACACTGCATATTAGTGGTTTTAGGTATAGTATGTAGTACTAGCTCTATCTAGAAATCCAACATTCTGGATACAACATTCAAATCCAACTCATTTTGAATGTACAGGTATGTACTTTTACCTGAATAAACATTATATCGATATCATAAATATATCCTAGCCTGACTAGCCTAGCCATGTGTTTTGCTATCAGTATTTACTCAACTTTCCTTTTTTCATACTCAAGATACTGTACGTAGTTTGTATACAGCATATGATATTAGGAACACATCCACAAGGGCAGTGTGGATTTTCATTTGATATATCACGCTATTGTGATTTCTGTGTGTATTAGGAACATCTCGACTTATTCAAAATCCCACTCGCAAATTATGTATGCAAATTACGCAGGCAATTTTAAATTAACATTGACTAGTCTAAGTTATAACCTTTGACTAGGCTACTCATAATGGGGGATGGTGGAGGGGGAAATGAAGACACAGACCCAGGCACTACCAAGTACCCTTTCTAGTGTAAATACCTAAATGTGGTTACAGGATGAGAGCTACGCTCGTGCTGTCATATCTACCCAGTACTCTGTCATATATCACTAACACTTTGGTGTCGTAATGACGTTTGTGCAGTCATTAAAACTATACTCGTACAGTAGTTCGGGACATGACTTTAACATCGCCAACAATTAATATTTGCTTATTAGTATTAGAAAGTATAAACATTGTGAGTGAAAGTTTAACATTGGGTTGTGTGCTCACGGGCAATGCCCGGCCTACCATGCAGTGCACTGCGGGTGGCCCGCCAGGCCAGGCAAAGTGTTAAAACTGCCGATGGCTTTGGCCTCCACCACTTTCTCACTTGTTCCAACTGTCTTTCACTCTGTATGCAAGAGAAAGCGTACTAATATTTTTTTTTGGCACCTTTGTTTCCTTAGCTTGAATCTGTGTCCTCCTGTTCTTGAAGTTGCTAGTTTCAGGAATTCCTCTTTGTCAATTTGGTCGAATCCTGTTATTAATTTGTAAGTGATGATCATATCGCCTCTTTTTCTTCTATCTTTGGCATATTGAACGCCTTTAGCCTCTCTTCATATCTCTGTTTTCAGTTCCGGAAGCCATTTTGTAGCGTGCCTTTTGTGCGTGCGTGTGTGCATGCGTACATACTGTACTGTACAGTATATAATATGCAGACAATTATATCATATATTCTAATATAATTTGTTTTCTCCTTGGCAGCAACATAACAACATTCCTGTTCATCTGAAAGGTGGGCCAATAGACAAGGTTTTATTTGGATCAACTCTAGTGCTGTGTGCTGTTGGACTTGCTGGCTGCTTCCAATTTTTCTATAGCATGGCCTTCCCAAAGAAGAATTGATATAAAGAAAAAAAATTGTAAACATAGGAAAAGTTAGTCTTGTAATGCACATATAATAAGCAAACCTATGAAGTCATTGTTTTTTTTTTACTTGATGCATATACATATTGTATTTGGAAATGAAACCTCAATTGTGAACTGATGTACAGTACAGTATACAGTATATTGTAACTAATTTATATTGTCAATACGTAATATTGCCATTCATAAGAAATAATTGTGAAAACATGTTAAATCAGTGTATATATGTGATGGTCCACGTTATTAATATAAATAAAAATTAAATAATTTTGGGAGGTTTCTCTTAAATTCATCAGTTTGTTATAAAAGATATACTTATCACTCTTCATAATACTGTACTGCATTGCTAGTGAAAATGCATATCACTAAATCAGAACATCTATCAAGTGTTATACATCTCTCTGGAGTTTTGACCCAAATAAACTACAACTTCTCTAACTTTGAGTTGGGTAGCTTAATAAGAAACAAAATCTATATAAGTGTATAATAGCTGACTTAGTAAATTTGCTACATATTTATTAGTTTTTAAATGAGTTGTCTCAAATTAGCTAAATATTTATATGAAATTTGTTCATAGACTAACAAGAAGGCAGGAAATGGGGGGAGGGGGGGATAATAAATGGAACAGTGTGAATACTAGCTCTCACAATTTTCAAGGCAAGTTCATAAATTAGATTACACATCTAGTAGTGCAGTGGTTTGCACGCAGTTGACTCGACCAACTATTAAGGGTTTATTTCCTGGGTAGCGCAGGACACTTGGAAACATTTCCTTACATCTGATATCGCTGTTCACCTAGCAGAGTGAAATAGGTTCCAAGGAGTTAGGCTGCATCCTAGATAATGGTCAGTCATTGGTTAGGGAGAACTTGATAAGCCTTACAGGCTCCATGTTTCAGAAAGTTTGATTAGAAACCATTGTTTGAGATTTAATTTAGATGTACAGTACTGTACAGTAGTAGTAATCGGTGCTAAACATGTTTCTATACACATCTGTGTCCTATTGTTAGATTAGATTCTAGGACTCTGATCAGGTAAGAATTATTGTAAATCCCGGACAGAAATTGTTGGTCGCATTTCCTGTCACCTTATGGCCCTGTTCACCTAGCAGTAAGTAGGTACTCGGGAGTTAGTAAGCTTGTTGTGGGGTTGCATCCTGGGCGGGGTCAGTAATTCAACCATGTGGAGGGGGGAGGGAACCTCGATATAAGCCTAACATGTATGAATACACAGCCTGCCTGCCTGTTCCCTAACACAATAAATTAATTATTATAATTTGGGATGAGCAGTTTGTGATTTAATATTTTCTGTTGTCTAAAGATGAAATTCAACTTACATAATTCTTATTGAGTCATTACAGTACAATTTGTTTCACATAAAAATCTCCAAATTGCCGCATCAAACAGCCTAGTTCGATGCGGCAATTTCGATGCCTTGCCTGGTCAACCACCAATCTGGTCCTCATTGGTACCTGTCGCCTTAATTGGAAACCAGGCCATAGGGACATTGATCCTTGGAGTCATCGACAGGTAGTTGACAGACAGTCTCTGAGAGAGAATATTTATTTGTCTGTCCAAGGTTAGAGGCCAAATGCTCTGGGGTTAGCCTCACCCAACTTTCACACATGAAATGTGTGGGGTAAGGGAGTGTCATTGGCCTGTTGGGGTTGGCCCAACCTATAAGAAGTATTGGCATCGACAACCTCCCCCCTAGTGTGATTTTCATAGAGTATAGTCTGAAATATTGGTTGTTTACCATAGTTGGTTTAGTGCTTCGAAATAATACATTTTGCGAGAAGAGGTGAAGAAGGGGGAAGAAACCAAGGGTACCCCTTTTATCTATATTTATGAGAGAATCTCTTTCTGTCCAAAGTTGGAGACCAGACACTTGGGGCTAGCGTCACTAAATTTCCCAAGGTGAATAGTCTGGGGTATGTGATGAATGTAGGCTGGTCGGGGACGGTCCTGTTGATCCTAATAACATTTCGGCTTCTTTGTGTGTTCCCAACAGTAAAAGTAGTGGGCTTCTGAGATATGTGAAAAGGTATTTACCATAATTTTACATTTTATAAGTTGTTTGTTGCATCATAACTATAAAGTTGGTGTCAAAATATTTGCAAAGAAATTATCTAGAGCAGAGATTTTCAACCTTTTTAAACTCGCTGCACACATTACAAGGCACTTAAATACCCAAGGCATTCTATAAGTTTTTGTCAGTACAAGTGAAATATTTTCTAGAGATGTCAGTTGACTCATTCAGATGAATGGCCAGAAAATTTGCTTCTTCCCTCAAACTCCCAAGGCCCTTTGAACCTTTTTCAGCACAACAGTTGAAAAACGTTGCTCTAGAGAATACTGTAGATACAAAAGAAAATGGTATTTATAATAAATTATGCATAACCACGACGAATAGATGAACGTTTATGAATAGCAATCAGATGGCATCAGTCTTGGCCTCACCGAAACCCAAGTGCCGGAGTACAGATGACAAACGCATCATCAGAACACAAGTGTTAAATAGAAGAGGGGGGGGGGGGGTGTTTAAAGCCCATTAGTGAATGGTGGGTTGCAGAGTCCTTAGAATTCTTCACCCGTAAGTGGTAAATATGAATTCAGTATCAAAAGGAAATGTGTGTGTGTGAGGTCGGAGGCCAGACAGGGAAGTTGGAGGAGAGAAAGATAGGGGGGAAGATGGTAGTGGGGGGGAGAGAGAACTCTGCTGAGTACTCCCTTCTAGCGTATATATAAATGGAAATGCGTGTCTGCCTGCCTGTCCGAGGTTGGAGGCAAGGTGCTTGGGGCTAGTAGCTTCGTCCAGTTTTCCCAGTACTGTAATTGCTGTTGGGTACTTGCACAACATGGGAGAGAGGCTGGAAGAAATGGACAAATGGGAAAGGAGGGGGGGAGGAGAAGGGAGAAAATGGGGAAAGAGAGGGGAGGAGAGGAAAAGGGAGAATGAGGAGAGGGAAGAAGAGGGGGGGAGCGAGGAGAGGGAAAAGGCAAAGTGAGGAGAGGGAAGGGGAATGAGGAGAGAAGAGAGGGGGGAGTGAGGAGTGAGGGGGGGGGGTGAGTGAAGAGGAGGGAAGTGAGGGGGTGAGTGAAGAGGGGGGAAGTGAGGGGGTGTGGGAACAGGGGGAAGTGAGGGGGTGTGGGAACAGGGGGAAGTGAAGAGGGGTGAGTGAGGAGAGGGGAGGGAGGAGAGAGGAGGGAGGAGAGAGGAGGGAGAGAGAGGGGAGGGAGAGAGAGGGGAGGGAGAGAGAGAGGGGGAGGGAGAGAGAGGGGAGGGAGAGAGAGGGGAGGGAGAGAGAGGGGAGGGAGAGAGAGGGGAGGGAGAGAGAGGGGAGTGAGTGAGTGAGTGAGTGAGTGAGTGAGTGAGTGAGTGTGCGAGTGAGTGTGCGAGTGCGTGCGTGTGCGTGCATACATGTGTGTATGTGTGTAATTACCTAAGTGTAGTTACAGGATGAGAGCTGTGCTCGTGGTATCCCATCTTCTCAGTACAGTACTTTTTGTCGTATAACTCTCTCAAACTACAGACAGTTTAGGCCTACACCACCACCACCACCTCACTTTTTCCAACCATTTACGACATGTGTGTTTTTGTTTACGAGTGTCAATGAGTGAATTTGTGAGTTTTAACTTAGTGGATAAAAAATTACATCCCTTGGAGTAAGATCTTCCTCGATTGTAGGGTGACCCAAATGTTTAAATAACTATGTCACTGATTAGGAGGAGGAGTAAATCTATATATAATTTTTTCATCAGTGTGTAGCTTAATTCCCTATACAAGCTATGTCAGAAGCCTCTGTGTTTTCAGAAACTTCTGGCATAGAAAGTGTCATTTTGACAGACATGTTAATGTCAATTTTCTGTCTGTCAAAACACAGTATTATAAGGCTGGTAGTAAGATACACAGTCGACTTGATAATGGTCCAGGACAGGCCGAAATGTCGTCGTCTCCTCATTTTCTGGTGCATAGTTTAGTCTTCACAGTACTATAGTTTTGACAGCCTAAACCCAATTATGCTGGGACTCTAGCAAGGAAGATAAATATGCCAATAGATGGAACTGTGTCTTGGTGTTGCTAGTTCTCGCCAACCACTGTATTGATGACTGCCAGTAACCCTACAACACTTAATTTAACCAGAGCTGACCTACCCCTTTCTCTTATTAATAGACCTCAACCTTTATCCTAATACCAGCCTTTTCCCTCCATACCAGCCCATACCCTTTCTCCGCACCAGCTTGCGCCCTTTCCCCCTCACCAACTGTTACCATTCCCTTCACTACTAGTCTTACAATTCCATTAACTAGCCCACATCCTACTGCACACTATCAACTAATAACCCTAATCATTCTCCACTCTTCACCTTAATTCTCAACCCTGTCACTCTTCCCTCTCATTCTCAACCCTCACTCTTCCCTCTCATTCTCAACCCTCACTCTTCCCTCTCATTCTCAACCCTCACTCTTTCCTCTCATTTTAAACCCTCACTCTTTCCTCTCATTCTCAACCCTCACTCTTTCCTCTCATTCTCAACCCTCACTCTTCCCTCTCATTCTCAACCCTCACTCTTCCCTCTCATTCTCAACCCTCACTCTTTCCTCTCATTCTAAACCCTCACTCTTCCCTCTCATGCTCACATCTCAACATTCATCTTGTCCCTGAGTCTCGTGTCTCATCCATTCCCTCAATTTTCAAACCTCATTTGTATTCTTCACCCGTCCCTCATTCTCACCCTTTCCCTCATACTTCACCCTAACCCCCATTCTTCACTTTTACCCCCAACTCTTAAACCTCATCCTTTCCCTCCTCAACTTTAACCCTTTCCCTCACCACCTTATTCACTACCCTCACCCTTCCCCTTATTCACAACTCTCTGTTCTCAAACCTCACCCTTCCCTTCAATTCTCAAATCTCACCCTTCCCCTCAATTCTCAACCCTTGCATCATTACCAGCCCTCACCATTCCCCTCATTCTCAACCCTCACCCTGGCTGGGTCTCTTCCTTCACACTAATACCCTTCTCCTCCTAGCTTCCCTCGGCTACCCTCTCATCTTTACATCCCCTCCCCTTCCTCCTCACAAACTTATCTCTCTCCCCTCTCCTAACCCTCTGTCTTCCCCTCTCCCTCGCCTTGCTCTCCCTCCTTCCCACCCTCTCCCCTTTCCCTCTGAGCTGCCTTCGTCTATTGGTGCTTCTCTCCTTTCTCTTTCTCTGTAATTTTCTTAATTTTCATTCTCTTATTTATGCTTTACAGATATGTGTATA